AACATACAAGCACTAATTAAATTCGACCGGTTTGACTTGTTTGACTTTGACTTGAATTTGACGGTTGTCACATATTAGGCCATATCTTGCTTCATGCATGACCACCAATAGTTGGGCCAGAGATCCTTATACATCTTTGTCACCCCAGTATGAATAGAAAATCTCGACTTGTGCGCCTCATCCGTCAATAGTTGATGCACACCACCCCAATATGGAACCCACACTCTCCGGTGAAGGGTCAATAATCTTCGACTATCATAATCGAAGGAAGCCACCTGTCCCACTATAAGCTCACTCTTCCGGTGCTCTTCCTTCATAGCCTCAACATGAGCCTCTTGAATTTGCTCTAAAAGTGGGGTAATCAGTATCATCCTCAAACACGCATCCCTGATCAGAGATACGACCACCATACGGTTGAGAGCATCGGTCACCACGTTGGCCTTCCCCCGGTTATTAAGAATCTCACAATCATACTCCTTCACCACATCCAACCATCTACGCTACCTCATATTCAGATTTGGTTGATCCATCAAATACCTCAGGCTCTTTTGATCCGTATAGATAGTATAGCGGACCCCATAGAGGTAATGTCGCCAAATCTTGAGGGCAAACACCATATCCCCCAACTTCAAGTCGTACGTAGGGTAATTCGACTCATAAGGCTTCAACTGCCTCGAAGCATAAGCGATCACATGACCCCGTTGCATCAACACTGCTCCTAAACCTGTGATAGACGCGTCACAATATACCATAAAATCCTCAATACCCTCCGGCAGGGTCAGAATCAACGCCTTACACAATCTCTGTCTCAAGGTCTTAAAAGTTGCCTGCCGCTCAGGCCCCCAACGAAATGTGACGGTCTTCTTCGTCAACCGAGTCAAAGGAACCGCTGTCTTGGAGAAATCTTAAATAAATCTCCGATAATAACCCGCCAAACCAAGGAAACTCCAAATCTCAAATGGAGACCTTGGAACTTCCCACCTCATCACCGCCTTGACCTTGGCCGGATCGACCATAATACCGTTCTGGTTGACAAGGTGCCCCGAGAACTGTACCTCGTGCAACCAGAACTCACACTTTGAGAACTTCGCATAAAATCTCCCCCTCCTCAGAGTCTCCAATATCTCCCTCAGGTGCTCCTCATGCTGCTCCTGGGTCTTGGAATAGACCAGGATGTCATCGATAAACACAATCACAGACCCATCCAACATAGGCCTACACACCCGATTCATGAGATCCATGAATGTGGCTGGAGGACTGGTGAGCCCGAAGGGCATCACCACGAACTCGTAATGACCATAATGAGTCCGGAAAGCCGTCTTCTGCGTATCATCCTCTCTCACCCTCATATGATGATAAACTGAACGCTGATCAATCTTGGAAAACCAAGATGCACCCTGAAGTTGGTCAAAAAAATCGTCAATCCTTGGGAGTGGGTAACGGTTCTTCACCGTTAGCTTATTCAGCTCCCGGTAGTCGATACACATCCGATGCGACCCATCCTTCTTCCTCACCAACAAGATCGACACTCCCTATGGCGAACTACTCGGTCGGATAAATCCCTTGTCTAATTGCTCTTGTAGCTGTCTAGACAACTCCTGTATCTCTGGAAGTTCCAATCGATAAGGTGCCTTGGCTATTGGAGTCGCACCAGGAACCAAGTCAATCTGAAACTCCACCTGCCTCTCTGGAGGACTCTAGGCAAATTCTTTGGGAATACATCTGGGTACTCCCGAACAATCAGTGCATTGCCCACAGTTGCCTTACCCTTCTCCTGGGTATCCATAACATAGGCGTATGAACTTGATTTTCCGAATTTTCTTTTGGTTCGAATCCTCCAGATACCTCTTTGTTTCCCCAAAATCAAAGTATGATATTAAATCAACAAAGAAATTCCAATCTTATTCTATTAAATCAACAAAGAACTTCCTATCTCAATTTTATTCAATAAGTTGTCTGTGTTTTTTTATTTCTTTTTAGAGTTTTGAAAAGTAAAAGACGTATAATTATTGTTACTCCCTTCTCTTCTAGCATAAGGAGTTTGTGGGTTTTGTGTTTTATCGGTTTATTGTTTTTTTGGGGTAAAGATCCGTTGCAGGGGATTTCCCAGAAGTGATAGAAGAGTATCTGGAACATGGTATCATGAAATGCATAGCTTTTAATTGCAGGGGAACTCTTTTTGACAGTATACCGATTGGTTTATGGAACATGGTACATATGAACAACAAGTATTAGAATCAATCCAGGGAAGATTTTAGATTTATGGTTATGAGTCGTTGTTTATACCGATTGGTTTCTTGTTACTAGAAGACCAAGTTCATCAATGAGAAGAATACACAGGCAATCATCATCTTTGCTGCTTTTGACCCCATTTGTGAACCTGTCGTTCAGTAAGTTTATACCGATTAGTTTCTTGTTACAAGAAGATCAAGTTCATCAATGAGAAGAATCAGTTTCAGATTATTGTTTTCTTTGTTTTTTCTTCCTTCTCCCGTAAGATGTTTTCTTTTTCGCACTTGTTCTACTAGATTAATGCTTCCAGGATTGATATTCATATTACTATAATACTGTTTCCTGAATTTAAGATTTTCATGTATACTTTTTACAGTTATTTCTAGTGATGGGTCACAATTGTCCCCTGTTGATAGCTTTTCATGTGATGAAACAAGTTTTCAACACCTTCTATGCTCAACATATCTTAACTATGTCAAGTCATGAAGCTCTTGGTATGTTTCTTTGATTTTTCTTTCATATATTTTAAAGATGTTTTCACTGTGACTACAGTTTATATCAATACTACTGAATAATAATAATTCTATATCTTGTTATTTTCCAAGGTACAAATTATGAAGAATTTTAGCATTGTTTCAAATTGTTCTTGGAGTGTACAGACATTGCTGAAACAAGGTTATAAATTCCTATGAAACAATAAATTCTGAAAGAAATAACATCAAGTAAAGAAAAAGAAGATTGGTGAAGAATGAAAACTTGTTTTATAGCCTAGTGAAGAATGGAAAGTAATGCAACAATATTCGTTCAGAATAGATTAGCATTTTTTTGTCAGAATGATAAGCAAAATATATTCTATCAGAATATATTAGTGTTTTACTAGATTTCAATGTTTATTCTTAAAGAATAAATGTAATTGTTAACCTTTATTAATTATATTCTTTCAGAATAAATGTCATTTATGTATGTTCATAGTTGCATTTGTTAAGAATGAATGTAATTAGTGATATTAAGATATTAAAATTCTGGCTTTTCATATAAAATTTATATTCATTAAAAATTACTTAATTTTGATAATGTATGTTTATAATATTCTGTCAGAATTTAATTATTGATATTAACACATTTTTTTAGAATATCCGAATTAATATATTTATTATCCAAAAAATCAGATTTTTAAAGTTTAGAGAATTAATTA